AATTAATAAATGTAATTACGTTTGTACAACCTGAACAAAATAAGTACATTGTACTTATTTTTCAATGTAAGTACACAGTACTTAATGCAATATAAAGTGGGACTATTTATTTTAGTTTAGAAATTGAAAAACAATTTAAAAAAGAGGATTGTATTGACACGACGGCTTTGGCCCAAGTTATAAAAAAAGAATTTGGGGGCTGTTTGTCAAAAAAACAAAAAAAAAAACAAATCAGTTTGGGAAATGTTCAGGCACACACACACACACACACATCTTTGATAACCTCCACATAAAGGAAATGTTTTGCTGCACTCTGAGGTGAATTAAAGATTGTTCATTGGCATTTATGGGTCCATGAATAAAGGTAAACGTCCTTATAAAATGGTTAGTTTCAAATCCTTGATTCTGATTGGTCAAGAACTGTGCTTTATTCACGATAAAACAGGGCTATGACCGCTTCACCCAACGGTTCTATTGATCGCTGCGCAACACTGCGGTTCTATGTTGTTTTTATTTGAGCTTTCATGCGTTTGACATATTGGAACGTTGTTGTTCACGCTCAGGGACTATTTTTTCTAGCGAAAGGAAGGCTTTTAGTGATTTTACTTCAAGAAAGTTGCACTAATACATTGTTTTTTACTTTAATATTGTGTGGCAACCGTTTTACAAAAGCAATAAGGTACTCCAGGCAAGTGCTGTATCGTGAATAAGTAAAAGCTGAATGGGTTACTCCGGTTCCCGTCGTGCCCAACAACGCCTTTCAGCCGTTACTTATTCACGATACAGCACAGCCTCTCGTACCTTATTGCTTACATATAACCTTTCCATTGCACAAAAGGTTCTTCATAGTGGAAAAATGTTCTTTAGATTATTCAAATATTCTTCAAACTTAAGTTAAGATAAATACCCCCTGATTGTACGAAAACATACGAACGAGATCGTACAAATTCATACAAATTGCCAAGAAAACATATGTGCTAGATAGAAACACCAGCATGCGTGTGTGTCCAAGAAAGGCTCCTTTGAAAACATCTAGAGCAGCTACTCCCGGGCCCTGGGTGATGTCCGATTAACCTCGGTCGGGTTGCCTGGAAGAGGGTGTCTGTTGAAAGACATGAAACACCCAATGATGCCAAGAAACACTTTTTTTTTTTCTTGGTTGTGCGAACGATAAGGAAACATTTCATTTTATCATTCTTCAGACATTTTAGGGAAAGTTACTTTTGAATATTCTCAGAAACAAAGCAGCAAGAGTTCAAACTAAAACTTCAGAAACAGACTTTCTTTCTGACAGTGAATTACCTTGAACATTTTACTGGAGCAACGAATATTTTTTTCTTGTTGGATGTTGGGCTTTCTAAAAAATTACATTGGAGAAAAATAATATTTTTTTTTAAATGCCTCAAAAAAAGTTTGGGTTAGGTTTGGGTTGGATTATTAGGAACACATGTTCAATTTCTCATTAATACAATTATCTAATCAGCCAATCACATGGCAGTTGCTTCAATGCATTTAGGGGTGTGGTCCTGGTCAAGACAATCTCCTGAACTCCAAACTGAATGTCAAAATGGGAATACCACTGAGGTATGCAGCAAAGGTATGAGTGGGTACCACTCATCTCCACTACAAATAGGAAAAAGAGGCTACAATTTTCAAGAGTTCACCAAAATTGGACAGTTGAAGACTGGAAAATTGTTGCCTGGTCTGATGAGTCTCGATGTCTGTTGAGACATTTAGATGGTAGAGTCAGAATTTGGCGTAAACAGAATGAGAACATGCCTTGTTACCACTGTGCAGACTGGTGGTGGTGGTGTAATAGAGTGGGCTAGAGTGGTGTAATATGTTTTCTTGGCACACTTTAGGCCCCTTAGTGCCAATTAGGCATCGTTTAAATGCCACAGCCTACCTGAGCATTGTTTCTGACCATGTCCATTCCTTCATGGCCACCATGTACCCATCCACTGATGGCTACTTCCAGCAGGATAATGCACCATGTCAAAAATCTCAAATCATTTCAAATTGGTTTCTTGAGTTCTCAAGATCTCAACCCAATAGAGCATCTTTGGGATAAGGTGGAACGGGAGCTTTGTGCCCTGGATGTGCATCCCACAAATCTCCATCAACTGCAAGATGCTATCCTATCAATATGGGCCAACATTTCTAAAGACTGCTTTCAGCACCTTGTTGAATCGGCATTTCTGAAGGTGAAAGGGGTCAAACACAGTATTTGTGTGGTGTTCCTAATAATCCTTTAGGTGAGTGTAAATATTTTTTTTCAACAAAATTGTGAGGAAGTGAAGACTAACACAGTGGGTGTCTGTGGTGAGAGGTCTTTGGGAGGCTAATGGACAAAAAAAATGGGCCTATAGTGCTTGTCAGGTGGGAGAAGTAAAGGTCAGATTGTCTAGTCAGGGTGGTAGAGCCGCACATGAGTCAGCTGAGAGACATGATACTGTATTTATGGTATCAGTGACAAGACACAATAAGCATCGCGTTCGCCTCGTCACGCACTACCAGCATGACTCTTCGTATCCACCTGCACCTGTCATTCGCCTCAAGTTGACGATAATGTTTGGAGCAGAGATGGACCACCACTTGGAAATCGCCTCCTGAAAGTCTCCCCTGTAGCATGAATGTGACCCAAAAGCATTAGTGATGTGTAGCCAATATCACAATTTCAAATCAAAATGAGATTGTTATCGTTTGGAATTTACACATCCAAAGCCGAGCTGTGATCTAAAAACGTTTTTGATGCCCTTTGAAGCTCCCGCTGCGAGACTAAAATATGAAACTGATTAAAAACAGTAAGTAAGCTCGGATGTCTGAGTGTGATGGGGTAAAAAAAAATCCCTGCAGTGCAGAAAAAAAGAAAAAAAAAAACGTTTCCGACCGATTTCGGTGCAGCTGAGGACTGAGAGTTGAAACGAGAGTTGAAACTGGCTAGAAAATAGGTCATGAGAGAGTGTAATGATTGGAACAGTGCAGGTATGGCTGAACACAGACAGGCCTTTAAATAGTCATCAGTATTCCACGCTTGTTCTTTAGACTGTTTGGAACTTTGCTTTTATTCTTCGGGAACAGAATAAAACAGCGGGAGGTCTCATTGACGTATTTTTTTTTTTTTCAAACTCACTGTAATAAGCTCTCTGGGCTCTAATTTTACTCTCACAGGGGGAATAAAGCGCTTCATATTTGTACTTCATTCTTATTCTCGGCAGCCGAAGGGCAAGGAAGACAGCAGCCCGTGGATCAGAGCCTCCAGACTGATCTCATGAAATGGCGTACGTATGACACGCCAATTCGTATTTCCATTTTTGGCGTGCTATCAACGCGCACAATAGCTTTTCAGCGTGTTTATGAACGCCGTTGACTTAACGTTACATTACTGTATATATAAATATCCACAAGTTTCCTACGCCCCATGAGGCCTTGCGTCAAAAGTGGGCGCGACTTCCGGTTGGAAGTAAACAAAACGCGATTTGACATGCTTGACACTCGTTCATTCAACAGTTGACAGTCATTCAAGTTATAGCGATCCAAACTAGCTAACGATGTGGGAACACAACCTCAACGAAATTAAAAAGGGTGAAATAACAGTACCTTTACCCTCCGCAGTAGTTGATTGGGAGTATTATAATAACATTATTAATAATCAATACTCATCAAGGCATGGTGACAGACAGTTGTGTGAGCTGACAAACAATTAAAATAAAAAATACACACTTAGTCATTGTGCTTTGGAGTTTATTCAAAATTATAAATGAATGTGCTACTTGAATACATTAACTGGCACATTTGGTATTCTGTCAACACAGGCTTTGATCCTGAGTTTAGGTGTAACATCAGTAGAGAACAGCCAAACACATGCTGATAGAGTTTATAGAACATTAAGAATTTAAACAAATGTACACAGGAAGATTCGTCGTCTTTTGGGAGGTGATGGAAACTACAGTCGTTGGCAGGATCAGAGACGGGCTCTGGCAGGATCACTCTGATTTCGTTTTCAGCTTATGTTCAAAACAATCCCGTTTAAGCCACTAAATTAGTTTAGTCCGGTTATACATACAACCGCGAGCAGCACATGTTGTCCCTGAGCTCCGTAACGACATCTCTCATAAAGATTTGCGTCTTTAAATAGTAAAATAATTCTCCGAAAAACAGCTAGCCTCTTCGCTAACTAACACACAAAATACCATTGGAATGCTACTTCCGCCGCGTCACCGGAAGTTTCACCCACTTTATTTTTTACAGGAGCGCCCCTCGGAAACTTGTGGATATGACCTACCCCAACCCCATCTCTAAACCTACCCTTCACTGGGGTTAAAGGGATACTCCACTTTTTTTTTTTAAATAGGCTCATTTTACCACTCCCCCAGAGTTAAACAGTTGAGTTTTACCGTTTTTAAATTCATTCAGCTGATTTTCTGATATTTAGATAGTAGGAAAAAAAATATAGTATGGAAGTCAATGAGACCAGAAACTGTCTGGTTACTGATATTCTTCTAAATATATATATATTTAAAAAAAAATAAAAAAATGGCTGAATACATTCGAAAACGGTAAAACCAAACTGTTTAACTCTGGGGGAGTGGTAAAATGAGCCTATTTCCAAAAAAAAAAAAGTGGAGTATCCCTTTAATACCATTTATGAGTCTTCCCCTACCATCCAAGGAAAAAAAAAAAAATCGCTTCCCTGATGTAGATTTACATTTTGCTCCGTTTCGCTCTGACATTTAACGGTGTGTACATACACACGGAATCACTCGGACATTTAACGGCGTAGACGTACACGCATACACACGGATAGCTCAAAATGAGTATAGATAACACTCCACTTGACTTGAAAGTGGTGTGTATGTTTACGCAAAAGTCATGATGTCATATGTTGGAGCCTCAATGCTGAGATCACGGTTCTATATCTTTTATGGTTTTATCCTGAATTCATCTATCGTATCATCCATCCCCTTGCAGTGGAACCATGTTAGTCTGATTTTGGTTTGTTTATTTTTGGATGAAACTTTTCTAGCAATTAGGCCTGAGTGATAATATAGAATCAAGATGAATATTTGTAACATCTGTGTGAGTCTATCAGCAGCATAAAGAGGAGTTTCAGTGAGGATGTTGTCTTTTCCTATACACATCACTTTAATTAGTTAACATGAATGACTTTAATCGCTGTAAAGAAGAAGCGGTTATGTTTTACCAACCCAATGTTTCCATTTCCAAGAACGCTGGGCTCACAGGCCTTTACTGGCATGAATATTCATGAGCTTACCGCATAGCCAACTGATGTGCTTGTTTTGGACAAGCACAAACCGGCTCCATCTAGAACCAGCCAGTCTGTGTCATTGTGTCATCATCAGGTATAAAATGATCATCCTGCTAATGATCATGAGGTTGTTTTTCACAGCTAGACAAATGTACAGTTTGTAATTGAGAAGTTTCCAAGCTGTCCATTTAAAAACACATGTGGTCGTGTTGCCATGTGTGGACTGTTTATGGTTTTGCAGCGACATCTTGTGGTTAAAATGATGAATAGACGTGGATAAAGCTGAGTAAAAGGTGTGGTTGAAATGTCTTTACGATCTTGTTACTGCTGGGTCCAAAACTAAAAATTAACTTTGTCTGTCAATTGTGTTACTTGTCCACTTTAAACTCAGCCATGAACTGAGAAATCAAATTTTCCTTGAGGTTTTGACATATCATGTCATCTCATCGTGTTATAAGAATATCCTGAATGTTTCGTAATTGAAAATGTCCTTGTTAGTCCAAAATCAGATTTTATTGTCACCAGGCCCAGCGAACGACTCATCCTGGACTGTGCCTCTTTATAAAGTAGTAAATGACCGTCTCTGCGGAAAAAGATAAACTTAGTGTTAGTGTTAGTGGGATGAAAAGGAGAGAAGAGCAATGTCTTTTGGACCTTGAAACGTTTGGTGTCCAGTAAAGTCCATTATATGGAGAAAAATCCTGGAATGTTTTCATCAAAAGTCTTAATTTCTTTTCGACGAAAGAAAGAAACTTGGATGACATGGGGGTGAGTAAATTATCAGCAAAAGTTTTTTTTTTTTTTTAAGTGAACTACTCCTTTAAAGATTCCAAACTGTTGCATGGTAGTGTGTGAATATATATGTAATTAATTATTGCATATTATTATACATAGCCTAAATAAATATTTACAAAGGGCAATGTGTGAGTAGGATTTTGTGTCAGATGCAACAAACATCTGTCTAGTCCATTAGCCTTTTCAATTCAGGCTGTTTTGAGTGGCATATATACCTAATAGATTATTGTCACCACACCAACCCCAAAACCCCCACACTTTACCTGCAGTAAAGCACTGTGCTATTGCTGAGCAGAATGCAACACCGGCACACATCCCTCAGCCCAAGCATCAATAGCACAAGGCTGAGGTTCTGAGTCCTCTTGCCAAAAGGGTTCATGTTCTGGATCGTCCCCCTCATCTCTCATCAGGAAAAGACATTCTATCGTCTCAACCAGGTTATTTTGGGCCCACCAAACCGAGAAGGGTATCAACTGGAGGGTAGGAAGTTTGTATATTAGATAAATTAATGCATCACACAACTTTTCCATTGCAAGTAAGCTAATCATATACAGTAAGCATACACACTTTAATCAGGGTGACATATTGAACTTTATGCGTCTTTAAAATGGCATGCACAGTTTAAAGGTCCTAGATGTAAGTTTCAAAACTCGGCTTTCAAAACTGTTTTATGGAATTATGTTTATTGAAAGATATGTTTTTCACCAGCTGAACAATTAGTAGGTTGTTAAATAACACTATAATCCATTGAACACACTGTAGTTTAATTCTTTACAGCATCGAAATCATTATTTTTTTATAAAACATTTTAAAAACAGTAACAGTTTTTGTAACACAAGTCAATCCAAAACAAAATCCAAATCAGTAAATAAAAGTATAGAGTATATAAGAATATATAAGACTCAAAAAATAATAAAATAATAATATGATGCTTACCTGGTTTATTATAGTAATAATAAAAATGTAATAATAAAAACTTTAACTGATTTTATTGTATCTTGCGAAGACAAAATTAGTCTTTTATTTGGTTTAACTTGATGCACTAAAATAAAACTAAATGGAAACTAGTCTATGGACATATTACATGCAATTAAAAAAAATAATAAAAAAACTATTTAAAATATTAATAAAAACTGTGATAATATATCATTGATACTAAAACAGAAATACTTGACTGAATTATCACATATTTTACACTCTATACGTTGTGTTTAACATGCATAACCTATCCTAAAACAGCCAAAACTATAGCATACAAGTATATGAAATTAATGTTTCCAAAGCAGATCCTATAAAAAAAATGAACTAGGAAGGTTGTGCACTTTACATAATATATGTATATATAGTTTACTTGTAATAATTGTGTTTTTTTTACTTTAAATGTTTTTTTTTTCTATTAAGGTCTATGTAATTGTGTCTCAACTTAACTGTACAAAATCCTAATGTGTTGTCTAAACACAAACCATTTATGTTAAGTAAAAAAATAAGTACATCAAGAGGGTGGCAGTATAGTGCGAGACAACTGCCATTTTGCCCGAACTTAATTTTATTTGTGTTCACTCTGCTTAAATATATGTACAACTTCAGTTTACTTAAACCGTTTGTGTTGGATTACATGATTGATTTGTGTTGCATTAACTGAAGCTTTTAGTTCCCAGCATGCTTTGCATATGGTTGAATTAAGAGAGAATAAATGTTAAAATTAAGTTATATTTTATGTTGTTTTTTTTTTTTTTTTGAGAAATTTAGAAAAGGGGAAGACTTGATAGTGTGCAATAGTGTTTAATGTTACATTACATTGGAATTATCTGAACCATTTAAATTACAGTGGGTTACCATTGTGGAGAAGAGTGGAGCATTGTGTTTGCCTGTCGACTGATTTCATTATTTTTATTGGATGAAGGAGCATGTAAATCTTAGAATTCAAGATGCTTTTGATTAAATGTCACTGAATCAAATGAAATATAAATGGATGAATGAATATAATAAAATGCCTTTGAAACATGTCAGGAAGCCATTAAAAATTTGCATTGAGACTACTTAAAATGGGTAATTTAAAATTACTTAATTCCATTATGTTGAAGTTACATGAACAAATTATGTTTGCTTAACGTAATCCAGTTATGTGAAACCTGTTGACAAAAAAGAATTAATAAAAGCCAATATAATTTATGCCATTAAGTAACTTTCAGCTTACCTGTCTTTTTAAATACACCTGATAACATCGGTCCATCAGTCTGTCCATTAGTTCCGCTATGATGTCCACCACCACCTCCTCCCCCTCCTCCTTGTTGAGCATGCTGGTCCAGGTGGACTCGGTTAGGAGTCCCGGCACAATGTCCACGGCTTCGACGGGCTGGACCGAGTGTGGTGGTGGAGGAGCAGCATTAACTGAGCCAGAATCGATGCGGCTTTTATCGGCCCGAGATTTGGCGGCAGAGCGACGCATGGTCTTCACTTCTCTGGCAAAAATAAACGAATAATAACTGGGGACAGAAGGAGAACAACAGGACACCAAAAATGTCACAATGGTTGTCACGATCACCAGCTGGAGTGCCCTTAAGAGCCACCAGGGGGCTCTCCATCACAGACTATTGTCATTCCCTCACAAACTAACTACATTTCCCAGAACTCATCGCCTGGACTCATCATGCCTGATTGCTGACTGTGGTTACTCATTATTACCTTGTTAAGCACAGCCTATATAAACCCTGTTCATTCAGCCATTCTTTGCAAAGTAATGTATATGTCTATACTGCATTTCTAAACGCGCCATTGATTATCTGTTACCTGGTTTTGACCCCTGTGTTCCTGCCCTATTGCCTTTGTTTTGACCTTTGCCTGTTTTTGGTCTTTGATTGAGTACCTATATTAGTATATTTAGTATATTCAATACATTTGTTTAAATTAAATGCAATTAGTTGAACTTGCTTTTTGACTTAAGTGAATTTCATTGTCTTTAAAGTTAAAAGGTTAACCTTTAAGGTTAAAGTGTACTCTCACATGACTCATCTACTGAATAAAATATAGGCAACTTTAACTTATACCATGGTCTGTCTGAATACTTGATTCTAATTGGCTGGAAGGTGTGTGTTAAAACCTGGTCAAAACTGCTTTTGGGTTATTTGCCTCTATGGCGTGAATATTTTTTTTTTTTTTTTTTTTTATGCACATGTGTGACTGTTAGATTGATCAGTGAATGCACACCTCCCTTATAATTTCTATTTAAATTTAAATGCCATGTTTTTAATGTGTAATTACACATTTGTAATAATTAAGTTGCAATTTAGGCTATTTAATATCAAATAAACACATACAGTTAAAATTATAATTAAGAAATGTACATGTGCTTCAGTATGACTATGTTAGTCAACAACATCAAAATGATTTTGCATGTAAAGTTGGGCATGCTTGAATGAAAAACAGTGCACTTTTTAAAAGTGTATTTAAGATAAGAAACAGTATTGAAAGTGTACTCTGCACATGCAATAAGCAGCACACTTCTTTTTCAACAAGGGACACATCTAAAGTTATACAAATGAATGAATGACGAACATTTTTCAAACATTTTCACCACTAACCACTCGACACACAATAAAGAAGACGTACCAAGAATCATTTAAAAAACCTTAGCAGCTACCTGTTTATCTCGTGTAGATCCTGGTTGCCAAGCAGCCAGGCCAGAGCATAGATGTCGACCAAAAAAAAAAGGCTAGATATATCGCCCACGCTGCAATGGAAGTCGACGTCTGCACCTGGCGGCCATCTTGTCACAGGCAGCTCGCTCACTCGTAACATGTTTTAATGGTGCATGTACTTTTTAAATAACCATAACTTGCTCGATTTTCTACCGATTTTCATACGCTTTGGTTTGTTATAAACGTCAGAGATGCAGAGATGACACTGCATACTTATGAATAATAAGTGTATAAATAAATAATCATCCAGAATGATAGCCACGTAAATAACGTTTGGAAGAAACCAACCCGTTTGTAAATCCGTCAAGATTTCAACAAAATATAGTATTTGTGTTCATGCTGATCACTCATCTTACACAGTCTCTGATCTTACATCAGCTTGCCTGTGACAAGATGGCCGCCGGTGATGACGATAGAAACTCCGCCGTAAAACATCTAGCCATTATTGTGGATATCTATGGGCCAGAGCCTCTGACGACACCGGAAACGACGACGAGATGCTGCAGCCATATGTCTCAGCAATTTCAGAACAACAGGGCTAGGCCAGCGGTCTCCGGGCAGAGTTTTACAACCGAGCTAATATTACAGACATATGGAGGGGTGCACGGTAAGTCAGTTTTTTGTGTAATGTTTTATTTGTTTCGATATTATCGCTTAACACTAGCAGTTTTGGTGCACGCTCGGCTTCCGCTTGAAAATGCGGTCTGGTGTCTGCAGTGCCATGTTGACGTGAACGCGACCAGTGGAAAAGTACGGAAGTAAATCCTTCTCGGTTAACTTACATTTTACTTGTATCGTTACAAACTCGCTGCCGCAATTCCTGAAGTAAAATTTATTCTTTAAAGCGTCTTGACTGCGAGTTACGTTCTGCACGGACGGACTCTCTCTCTCTCTCTCTCTCTCTCTCTCTCTCTCTCTCTCTCTCTCTATGTGTGTGTGTGTGTGTGTGTGTGTGTGTGTGTGTGTGAGTGTGTGAAGTTCTGCAAATACAAAAAGTAAATAAATAAAACGTGAACTTTGAATCTTCTTTTCCATGACGCGTCATCAACCCGGAAGTCGGTCATTTTGGAGGCACTCCGCATCACAACAAAGCACAGGCACTGAAGTAACGTTATATCCAGAACGTCGGCAAGGAAAATGGTTAATTATTGCCGTGTTTCGGGTTGTACCAATAGGACAGACCGAGAAAAACATTTGAACTATTATCGACTTCCAAAAGTTATTAAAAACCAGGGAGAGGAATGCCAGAAGTTATCAGAGGAAAGGAGGCGCTTGTGGTTGGCAAAGCTCAACCAAGATCTACGAGGGAAAAATCTGGACAACATCCGGATTTGTTCGGCACATTTCTTATCAGGTATTGTGAAATTTTGATTGCAGCAATTTTCTGGTGTAAAGATAATAATAGTTTTAATAGTAAAATTAGGGTGACCAAACGTCCTGTCGTCATGTCCTGTTGTCCTGTCCTGGTTTTGTTTGTTTGTTTGTTTTATTACATTATTCCTATCCTTATTTCATGCATTATTTTTTAAACCTATCATAATAAAACATGCTGAGTAACCTTAGAGACATAGCCAAATGTGTTGAAATTAATAAGCCATCTTTGAGTAAACTGAGTATCATTTGAGAATCTCATTTCCGGGCTGAGTGTCCTGGTTTTCGGATCAAAATATGGCCCCCCTAAGTAAAAACAATTATTTATTTTATTGTTTTTACTGTGTGATTATTTACTGTAAAGCACTTTGGTAGGACACTGGCTATTTTAAATTTGCTATAGAAATAAAGCTGACATTGACATAATAAAATTCATAGCTAAAATGTGCTGTATTTCTCATTATATTCCAGGTAAAAAGTCTGACCTTTACAAAAAGGATGACCCAGATTGGGTGCCATCTGTTGGAATGACAGGTCAGCAAGGAGGTCCACTTCAGTCAACCAAAGAAACACTACAAGCGGCACGCTACAAGCGTCGCATAAATCGAACCCAGAAGAGACTGAAGGTTGAAGCTCCTGCTGCTGCTGTTAAGACTGAGGATGACCCCACCACAAGTGATTATGTCAGCGATAATTTTTGCTGCACAGGAACTCAAACTGAATTGACTGGTGATGTCATTGAGGCTATGACCGCTGAACTTCAAAGTCGTAGAATTGAAAACATTCAGTTTAGCTATAATGTTGCAAATGTGTCCACTTCCTTTGACCAAAGTGCCTTTGTTTATAAGGATGAAAAGGTTCCATTTTTCACAGGCCTACCCACATTCAGGGATGCAAACAGTGCGCTTTTAGGTGCCTCCCGCTTTTTTCACGTTAGTTTGGGTGACGTATGTGAATCGTGCAGATCCGAAGAGTTTTTTTCAAGGGTTTCGCCGACAGTAAAACTGGAATGCCTCCACCAAACAAGTAAATAGGAAATAAGCAAATCAGACCTCTGCGCGCCGAAACAGCAGTATGCGCGCAAGCGTGAACTACTAGTGTTTCTTCTGGTTGCGTCTCTGACGCGTTGCTTGCGAGCTACCAGTAGCTCGTGGCCTGATGGCCGAGGTAGCTCGTCAAGGGGCCGTACACATATCGTGTCTTCTGCTCTCTCAAGTTCGTTATTTCAAATGTAGGCACGGGGCAAGCGCTCTCATAATTGAAGCGACGCGCTGATTTTTTTCAGGCTCAGCGTGTTGAAAACAAATCAACTTTTCAGAATGCCAGAAGCACACCGCTGTTCATGAGACAAGAACCAACCAATCAGCTTCACCCTTTCCTTAACAACACTGAAAGCTCAGTCAACATGAAGGATGGAGGTGCACCTACGGGTGTTTTTCTCTTCTCCGTAAATAAATCTTGTAGCAGAGCTACAGCAAGTGTTTTTTTGGTGGTTGAAATCTTATTAGCTACTAGGCTAAAACTTTGTCGTCGTGGAGAGTGGAGTGCATGGTTGCATTGCAACGACAGAAGCCACGGTAAAATCAGACCGAATTTTACTATTAATGATAGGCTAACAGATAAGCTAACAGTATAAATGTCAAAGTAATTTATCTTTTTTTGGCTCATTCTTTTTATAAAAAATGATTTAATGGCTGAAATATCTGAGGTTTATCTTTTTGTAAAATCTTTTTTTTTTTTGTCAACTTTATTTGAATTTCTTTTTACTATATGTGCCTATAGAGGTGGGCCGGGGATGGCAGGGTTTGGTGGCAATGTAAATATCTGGATATTTGCCACGGTGCGAGGGCTTTGATTACCGCTCTCTTTTTTGACCATACATGTGTTTGCATCCATGTACATACCAGATACTGTTAGTTCTCTTCACGTTCCTCAGTCCCTAACTCCTTGTGAGGAAGTCACTTGATAAGTTTAAGTTCATGCATTTAGGCTTAACGTTTCCACAACCTTCCTGTCATATGCATTTAACGTGTCAATAGCGACTGCTTAAAGGATTGTCATTGATGTCATGTTTATTCGCATGAAGCCATCAAATGGCCAGAAAGAGATCAATTGCAAAAAAAAAAAAAAAAAGCCAATGCAAATCAGAAAACATTTTGGGAAAAAATGTGCTGTTATTGACTCTTTTGGGGTTTTCATTTTTCATAGAATGTCAATCTAATTTTATAGCCAGAGCAGAAACGTCAGGACTCATGTTGGCTGTGTGATTGGTTGTGTATGCCAGAAATATACTATTTTGGGGGGAATATTGGCAATTGTTTTCTTGATGTGCAAAGATAGTGATGGGTATTGTACCATAGATAATATTGGACTTGTCTGTTGTGCTATGGTGAACTTTTGTCCATCAGTAGTTGATTTTGACTTTGCCAATAAAAATATAAATGAATCCATGTCTGGACTTGTCTATATAGCCTAAAATTATCAATAAATGATTGTTAATTACGGTCATTAAATCATTGTTATTGTTTTGTTGTGGACGACACACATCATATCATCAGAACACAGATTTATTAAAGGTGCAATGTGTAAAAAAGATGAGTATCTATTAACAGAAATGCAATATGACATCCATAACTATGTTTTCAGTGGTGTATAAAGAACTTACTTAATTAACCGTAATGTTTTTATTACCTTAGAATGAGACATTAATAGCTCCATAACCGCGGGAATCCCCTTCTATGAAGGTCGCCATGTTGTGACGTCATATTCCTACCGTAGCCGAACGCGAACAAACAGCGCATCAGAACGCGTTTCATCACTACCTTGAAAGAGAAGTAGCGGAAAGCTGGAAGCTAGCCTTACACTCCGTGAGTAGTGACTTTTCCCGATCACGAAGAGTTTTCAAAATCAGAGAAAAAAGCCTATTGTGTGTAGTAAATAGTATCTATGGGATGCGGAGATGACATGATTGTAACAGCGCGCGCACTTCCGACCTTTGGACTCATGCGATGCGGACGCGTCCCAGCTCAGCCACAGCAACAGCTCATATTAGCCAGCTAAACTATTACTACCCTGTTAGAAAACATATATAGCTGCTCTCTCGCTGTATTATGGGTTTGCTACAGTATGTGTGGAGAAATGTGCTGCTGGTTACGTTTGTGAGACAATCAGCTGATTACTATCATTATATTAAATTATATATTAAAACCCTTGATCCTCACCTGACTATGGCTTTGTAAACAGTATCCATGATGTGGTTTATAATGGACTGTGGTACAGAAACAGTGACAATGTTACACACTCTTGGCTTACTCTGGCTATTCTCTGCTGTCTCAGCCGACGAGATGTTTGTCCCGTTTTAGCAACCGTAGCTTCTTCGAAAGGGAGGGGTGAGCAGTGGGCTGAGCCCTTAGTGCAAACCTGGTGCAAACTCGCAACCGAACCACTAGATGTCGCTAAAAATCACACATTGCTCCTTTAAAGGGAAAAAAAAAACACTTATCAGAACACTTATAAACTATACGCTACTATATACATTATAATACAGTGTCTGCAGACCCGACAAAAACGTCTTCAGGATAAGAGTCCAACTTTAATTGAAAGTTTAGCATATTGTCTCATATGTGCAGGAGGGCCAGCCTATCATATTTTATCTGGCCAAAGACATCCACACGAAAACATAACACTAACAAACATATCGACAGACAGAGCAGCACTATGTCGCCATACGACGGCGCCATCTTTTTAGACAAGAAACACAAGACAAATGAAACTTTTTAGACAAAAGACAAAAAAAAAAACATATATATAAGACTCTAAGAATAACAAAATAGTTTCTCACCACTTATTTAAAAAAAATAGTAATAATTATAACGGGTAGGCTAGGCTTATCTGCATCACTGATTGGTAGGCATGAGCTTGAGCCTACTCTTTGTTCATTCTAATAGTGTGGTGGTTGTTTTGTTTGTTTTTTTTTGTTGTTTTTTGTGGTGCAGATTGGACATGTGCATATATATGATAGAATAAAGTAATAATTCTATAGCAATAACATCATCATAAGGTTAAGGTTAGGTTGATTAAAGACGTTATTGCATTACTTTGGCCTTCACAACACAACGGTTGCTGATAATTTGGTACTGCACCTCCCTCACCCATCCACACACCATCTGGTTATAAGCCTCCAAACCTTTGTAGGCTTTAAGGTCTTTTGCTGTGTATGGGCTAGGTGAGAAAACTAGGTAGTTGACTATATTGGGATATGCAACTCCAAGAAGAATCACTGGGTCGTCATGGATCCAACAAGGAGGAGCTAACTCCTAGGGATCTGCACCGCCAATAAATCGTAATTTCTCGAAATATCGTGCTTTTCTTGTGGCCCAAGTCCTTCCCTATATGCCTTTGTATCTTGGATGCGTTTTGATGAGCTTTTCTGTTGTTTAGACATGGCTACATTCACTTAAAGTGTTCAAAGTGCACAATACTCCATTGTACTCCATTCAGTTGTTTATATCGAGTGCCTCCATAATGGCCGCGCATCCAGGTTAACGCTCAAAACGTGACGTCAGTGAAAACCTTCTATAGGCCTAACGTTACCTATGTCCGGTGTAACAGACCTTTTTTAAAGAGTCAGTTCACCCAAAAAAATTACGTTATGTCATGATTTACTCAACCTCATTCCATTCCAAACCTATTTGTTCTGAGAAAATCTGAGAGTTTTTTTTTTTTGTCCCTCCATTCAAAAGTCCATTCCTCCAAAAATTTCATATAGAGATTGTAAAAGTCGCTTTTACAATGTCTTTTTTGTGTGTCAAAATTTTGGTTACAATCGTTTCAATGATGGAACAGAAAAAATATGCATTTGCATTTCGAAAATTAATGAAAGTCTAATGGGTTTGCTACGTCAATTGCTAAGTAAATAGACAAAATTAAAAATTTTGGGTGGACAATCCATTTATTTTGCAATCTGTGTAGTGTCTGGTTAAATAAATATGTAGTCTTCTTAACTGTGTTTTTTTTTTAATTCCTTTGCAGAGACATATTTCAATTCAACAAGGTCATACATTCCCTCAGTTGGAGAGATGCACAAAATGCTGCAACCGTTTTCATTGTCCCTTTTGTATGGTCAGTGTATTTAAGCCCTGCAGACTGGACAAGCTCAAATTACATCTGAAAATCCACTCTAAAAAAGCAGTTGTCCATGGAGGTATATTGCGTATAGTGTACATATATCGTATATTGTGTAGTAGTATGTGTTGCATGTGTACACAGATGAGATAAAACATTATGACTACCTGCCTAATATGCTGTTTGTCCTCCATGTGGTGCTAAACACAGTGCCAACCCATCAAGGCATGGACTCTACAAAATCACTGAAGGTGTCCTGTCCTGTACTATCCAAAGCATAATTAGCAGATCATTCAAGTCCTGTATGTTGCATGGATCAAACAGATGCTTGATTGGATTGTTATCTGGAGAATTTGGAGGTCAGGTCAACACCTTGAACTCTTCATCACGTTCCTCAAACCATTCCTGAACAGTGTGTCAGGGTGTATTATCCTTCTGAAACAGGCCACTTCCACCAGGGAACACCTGTGCCACGAAGGGCTGTACCTGGTCTGCAACAATGTTTAACTAAGTGGCACTTATGATTGGCCGGACCCAGGGTTGTCCAGAACCTCACACTCCCTCCACCGGCTTGTCATCATCCCACAGTACATCGTGGTGCTATCATTTCCCCAGTTAAACTGTGCACACGACTGTCCACGAGATATAAAAGAAAACAAGACTCATCATACAAAGCATCATTCTTCCACTGCTCCAAGGTCCAGATCCAACACTCGCATGCCCATTGTAGGTGCTTTCAATGGTCAACATAGGCATCTGATTGGTCTCAGCTCTATCTATACACAGCAGAGTATGAGTTACTGTGTGTTGAGACACATTCCACCTAAAGCATTGTTAAAATTGTGTGTGACTTGTGTCTCAGGAGACCTTCTGTTGGCTTGGACCAGACGGGATAGCATTCGTTGCCATCGTTCATCGATGGGCCTTGGGCACCCAACACCCTGTTGCCGGTTTGTGGTTTGTCCCTCCTCAGACCCCTATTGGGAAATTCTCACCACTGCTGAGTGGGATCAACCCACAAGCCTTGCCATTTCAGAGATACTCTGACCCATCACCTTGCTATAACAATTTGGCACTTGTCAAAGTCAACTGCATCCAACACATTGATTATTAGAACTGATTGTTTGCTTACTATCTAATCTCCCCAGATCTTAGTAAGTGGCCTTTTTAGGAGATGATCACATACAATACGCCTGTGACTGGTCATAATGTTTTGGCTCATCAGTGTATACATGTAGCATAAATATTTGTAACTCAATATTTTCCTAATATACATATATCTTCTTTTTTAGGCTTCAATTTTCACAGGTGCGGACTGGGCTGCAGACCAACCCTACATTTCCACTGTATATACTGTCCAACAACAATTATAAGGAAATCTGATTTTGAAAACCATTTAATAGTCTGTAAACAGAAGCTAGAAAAATCAGCCAGAAAAATGATGTCAAGCACCAGTACGGCAGTGACCGCTCCTTCAATCATAAACACACCGTCAATCATCAATACAACAGGGGCCGTTCCTGCATTCATGCACACTTACACACTGCCAACCACCAGTACAGACGTTACTGATTTGGGGATCAAATATGGACCGTTAACCACCAGTACAGACGTGGCCGCTTTAGGGATCAAAGATGCACCCTCAACCCCCACTGTAGACATGACTGCTTTGAGGATGAAAGATGGATCATCACCCACCAGTACAGGCAAAATTCGTGTGCGGCCTGTTATTAAAAAGAAATGCCCAGTGTGTAGTATCCTCGTCAATAAAACCAATCTACAAAAACATATAGAACGGAAACACTCGGATCAGTCAGAATTGGACATTGGTGACACATTCCAGCTTACAAGCGAGTGTATAGACGAAACAAATGGGATATTTACAGTTCTTAAAATTCTAAAAGGCCACAGCGTCCCGCTTCACGTACAATACAAGACAATGGGGGAAAACCACAGAATTCTCTGCGAATCGAACGAGTGCCAGGTTAACATAGATATCGCGCAGAGGA